GTTAATAGACAGTAATAAATTGGTTTCAAATAAAATTAAATTTTTAAATCAATCGATATGTTCACAGCTGTAAGCTCAAGCTTATAAAAATTATTGCTCGTTAATTGAAAAATAATAGATTAACCAATATACATATATATATATATATATAATTGTAGGCTTAAAAATAATACAATTGTTCGTAGAATTATCCGTTTACATAATTTATTAAGTTTAGCAATTAGTGCATTATATATCGGCCGATGCAAACATATATGATTGCAAACGTTTCCTTTGAGGTTCCCCTTCCATTATTGTTTCACTCCAAATTTCCAAAGAGCTATCTGTCATCGGATACCGTATACGCATGTTCATCCGATTATACATAGGTTATAAGAAATGAAAAATGAAATAGTTTATGGCCGAGATCAATAGATCAAATCAGCTTTTATGATTTCGTCCGTTTCTATCTTTTCTTTTTGCTTCTTCAGTTTCAATGTTCTCTTTCTCTCTATCTTTGCATTTACACAAATATGGTGAAGAGTGACAAGCGGACAACTGTAATGCGAAGGTCAGAAGTCAAGCTAATCTTCATTAGGTATGAAATAAATTGATAACGCATTCATATGCAACAAAATCAGGAATGAAAATAGAAAAATTTAAAGATGATCGAAAGCATTAGAAAAGAGTGGATGGACAGGTGCTGTTGCTATCGCCAAATTTATTTAACAATCCATCGAAATGGAAGGGATGAATGAAGGAATGAAGCGGAGAAAAAAGGATAAGAATGTACCGTTCGCATATATATTCGTGATGAATAAAATTTTCTTTTAATTGCAATTTGATAATGAAAGAAAATTGCTAACACATTTGATCATTACTTTCTTTCATTTCTAGAAGAAAGAGAGAGAGAGTTGTGTATGTGCGTGTCTGTGTGTATGTGTATGTGTGTATGTCGCATTTTGAAAACTATGATTACGCTTGATTCTGGTATAATTCGACTGAAATTGAATGAAATGAATGACGACAGAAGGAGGAAGGGAGTGAAGCAAAAAGAGGAAAATGATTATTATTATTATTATTATCACTGCTACTGCTATTTTGGTATTATTTTGTGTTGGTAAAGATCCTTTATAGCTATTTATAATAAATATATGTATATTCTATATGTCACAATGTATGTGTGTGTCATTGGGAGGTAGCGGGGAGAAAGACGGGAAAATTTTCCTTTTTTTTGCCCTTCCACGTTAAATTGAAATATTTCTTGTTGGAAAAATCATATTCAATCGTTGAAATCAAATATAAATTGCCATCTTTTATTATTTGTTGCATATTGTTTTTTTGTTTGACTGTCTGTCTATTGAGTGTTGTAATTGTTTTTCTATTGTCTTTAGCATTTTTCTATTTGTTTGTATGTCTCTTTTTGTTTATTTGTTAACGATGTTATTTGTTGCGTAACTTTTTTGTTTATTGTTTGTTGCATATTGTTTATTTGTTTCAGCATGACATTGTTTATTTTATTGTATGTGTTAATGTTTGATATCCATTAACATAATTTTTTATTCATTATTAATAGCATAAATAGTCTAATGAAAAATGATGCATAATTTTTTTCGACTAATTTGGCTAATTGAGTTAATTATCTGTACTGTAAAAACATTCATTAGCTTATCAATTAGATAGCTTTCGTATGTTTTATTCTTTTTTTACATTTTCCCATCTGTATTTTGCACAACTGTTTTCTTCCTTTCTTTTTCTATCATTGTTATCAATTTCCAAATCCACTTTATTCCTGAATTTTGTGCTGCACTTTACAACCCATGATTAATTCGTTATTTTTTAAAATTTTCTATTCTTTTCTTTCTTGTTTAAGGTCAATTCTTGCTCTTTCTCCTTTTCCCTCCCCTTCCTTATCTCTCTTCCTCTTTCTTCTTTTGCCTTCATCATCTCTCTCCTTCTCCATGAAAAATGCATTGCTGCGTTTTCCGGATTAGGAGAGACTAATGGAAGACTGAAGGAGAAGAAAGTTTCTATGATAATCATCTTCTAAAAATCAAAATTTTTTTTAAAATATAAAACAACTTAATCCGCAGATTAGATCGTCATTGAATTGAAGAAAGAAAAAACATTATTCCATTCTTATCAGTTTGAAGGAAATTTTTGAAATAGAAGTCTCTTTTTTTGAATATATGAAATTCAAAAGAAAAAAGATAAAAAACAACAAAAGAAATCCTAATCTTAAAATTTTTTATTTTGATGCATTCTAAAGAAAGTTTCATTTTCACCTTGTTCCCTTCCATCCACACAATCGCCATCATCGCCATTATTATTATTATTATTATTATTATTATTATCATCATTATTATTATTATTATTAACATCTCATCATTATACTACCATTGCTGTAAACTGTTATGATCGTTATATTATTTGACTGTTTGCAGTAATGATCTAACAGGGAAGAGAGAGACAACAGCAAATGTGTCATTTGTTAATTTGAAGTACTGCCCTGTTCACTTACGATCATTTTGGTCACAATTTTGCTACTTATATTATCGATAATGATTTTTGTCGATCTTTGTTACCCTATCATTGATGTTATCGATCTTTCCGTCTCTCTCTCTCTCCCTCTCTCTTTCGTTATGGACCTATTATTACTTTTTTTTCTCTTTTATTAGAATGAAATGAGATTATGGATCAATTTTAATGGCAACAGTTTACGAATTCCACTATCAATAATTTAAAAATATTATTACTATATTATTAAAAATTTCAAAACAACTTACAACAATTGAAGCAAAATTTAAACTTGGATTTGATATCAAAATTTTAATTTGATTAGTAAAATATTATCATTATTTTCTAAATACTCTATAATTTTTGAATTTTTGAGGCAAAATTTAAATTCATATTTGACAATAAATTTTAATTTGCATTAATAAAATATTGTTATTACTAAAATTCTAAAATATTTATAGCTTGCAACAAAATTTACACTGGAATTTGACATTAAAGTTTTAATTTGCTCCAAAAATATATATTTTAATGCATCATATAATGTTTTCGTGTTTCATATCGTGTCACAAATACAAAATTGATTTGTTGATATTTTTTGGATATTACACTTACTACTGTCTGGTTATGCTGTTTACGCTTAAAATTAGTCAATAGTAAAAGTTTATATTTATTATAAAATAATTGTTTCGTAGTAATTTTAAAATTTTAAGCACATCTTGATTCGTTCAAATCTTTCCTTTGACAAACACTCATAAAATACTCCCATAACAATGTTAATAGCTAATTCAATCGATCTTATTTTAAAGCTATCGCCTTAAAAGCTTATGGAATACTGCAATATCGTTGAATGATGGATGGAAAATGTCTTAATGCTGGTTATGAACTTCTTTCCCTCTCACATTTACTCTTTTTTCTCATTAACCTTTTTTTTGTACGATTAAAAAGATCGTGCTATGTTAAATAAAAAATAATCATTACTTTTGTCTTTTTCAAATATTTCTTTTCAATGAAAAGAAATATTTGCACCATTATCATCTTTCTTGTTGTTCTTTCATTTTTCATTTTTTTTCTTCCATTATTTAATTTTTTTAAAATAATTCTGAAAACTTTTACTGATTCAACAACAGTGACATTTATTACTTTTCTTAAATTTTGACTAAAAATTATAAATCAAAAATCAAGAAAAAAAATCGTTATGGTGACCTGAAGTGTTATTACGTATTAGACATTGAAATTTTTAAATTCAATGATGATAATATTGCTATATTTTAAATTATATTCCGAAATGATATTTCAAAATAAATGAAATGGCGATAGGAGGAAAAAAAGAATGTTGCTTAAAAGTTGATGAAATGGTTTAAAATTACTTTTTAGAAAAACGTCATAAAATTTCGATCTTTTAACTTATTACTTGTGGTATCTAATAAAGCAAAGTGTTAAATGAAGATCTGAGAAACGGATTGAGAATTTTTTTTTACTATACCACTTTGATTTATGATCTGTAAATCCAATGCTGATTTATGATCTATAAAATGAATTCAAAGAATCAATCATAAAATATAAATTATCATGCTTTTTGGAAGCATCAGAAATAGGAATTAAATATTGGTAAACACTATGGAATGCGTAGCTGTGTGTCAGTTTTTTTTTTCTTGTTCTGTTTTGCTGTTAAACTTTAGTGCGAGAAAGGAGAAAAATTCTTTTGTAGTAATTTTATCGTATTTAATATTTTTAAATTGTCAATTTTTAATATTACACAATTGGTATTTTTTTCATTTCACTCATAAGTTTTTAAAATGTTAATTTTTGCAAAAAATCTTTATTATATGATTTCTAAATGATTTTTTTCCATCAATTTATTTTTCTGTAAAGAGTATTTCAGAGAAAGAAAATTTTTCAAGTTTAACTTCGATCATTTTATCAAAGAATTTTGAACCAATCGTGGAATTTCAATGATAGTTCAATAGAATTATCTAGATAATTTTGGAATATAGAATTATCTAGATAATTTGAAATGTGGAGAAAATTAACATTATTTGGTAAAGGCAATTCGTTGTTTGATGAATCATTCGCTTTAGTGAGTAAATGATAGTTAAATTTTAATATTTGATGTTGCTTTAGCTTTTGAATTACGTTCGAAAAATCAGAGCATTTCATGTCCTATTAATCCTATAACAACATTAATAATGATGTATTTTAGTATTGAAAAAGGATGAGCGTTGATGATTCAAAAATGCCGCTATCTGAGAGCACTAAAACACCGCAAATTTACAAATTAGAAATCAGAGAATCGAATTATAATGGAGTACAGTTACTTTTTCCATTCAACTATACTTTTTTTTTATTCGATCTTTCTGACTGAATTGAATCCTCTGGGACATAAATTTCTCTTTCTTTTCGATGTTCAATCTAATAGTGCTGAAAACACAGTCTTTTAAGTGTCAGCTAATTAAATTCTAGGAATCAAATTATTGGTAGTCTAAGTAATCCTAATAAATCTAAGAAAACTTTATATCGATAAAATAAAATAAGCTTGAATTAGAAGATCGCTTTAAAGTAGCACTGTCATTACTTAAATTTGATTTCTTTGCAATCCAGTTTGCACGTAATTATTCTATTGGTTTTTAATTGATTCAATTATTAATTAGCTCAAACATTATCAGTAAATTTAAGGAAGCAAAAAAATTATTTATATAAAAAGCAAAATAGACTTATGCTTATCATATTCTTCTTATAGGGCGAAAATGAAATAAAGGTACATCAAACGACAGCACGATTAATTGGGCTTACAAAAAATGAATTGGAGCAATATGCTAATGATCCATTTTGGAAGGTAGTTAGGTAAATTTTGAGTCTAAATTTAATAAAAAAAAGTTTAAACGTCGGTCTAAATTCGATTAAAGAACCTGTTACAATTTCGATAAAAACTTGCTTAAATTCAAATCTTGGACATTTTTTGTTTGTTTTTTCACTTTACTTTTCTGAAAAAAAAACAGTTATTGCAGGTATACAATGTTTGTACTTTTTTGGGTAGCATGGGTTTTGATGTTTCTAGCCGCTGTACTACTTATTATATTTAGCCCCAAATGTGTAACTATAAGAGAACCGGAATGGTGGCGTAGACACGTTAGCTATCAAGTAACCTTATTATTTCCATATTTTGTTTTGCTGTCAGTTAAATAAATACATATATAAAGTTCAGAAAAATATCAAATATACAATTTAGAAATACCAAAATAATTACAATTCGTGATCAGTTTTTCTTTCGGAATTTTGCAAAATTTTTTTCTTCCAATCCTTTAAGATTATTTTTGCATTAAAAAAAAGTTTTATAAATAGATTGGAAAAATGAAAAGGAAGATATATGATTACAGTATTTGCTATTTCAACATTTTAATTTTTTTTAATGTGATGCGACAATTATATAAAATGAAATATACTTTCAGATATTCACACCATCTTTCCATGATTCTAACAATGATGGAATTGGTGATTTCAATGGAATTCGAGAAAAGCTTAATGATTTACGAAAAATTGGGATAAAAACAATTTGGGTAACACCTGTAATAACTACTCAAAAGGTTGGTTGGTATACTTGTAAAAAATACGATTTATTAAAATAGAAAAATGGATAAAGCTCAGAAAAGTACTGTTCATATGTTTTCATAAGAAATTTATTTTAAAACTGATAGATTATGAAAAATAATTCAGGATGATTTCATTCCTCTTGATGTGATCGATTTTACAAGTGTCGATGAACGTTTTGGTACAAAAAATGATTTGAAATCACTAATAGACGCAACACATGAACTAGAAATGCATTTTACTATGGATTTACCCATATCAGTAACATCTGTATCACATAAATGGTTTCAATTTTTTGCCTTTCGTCATTAAATGATATATTTTTTTTTTGGTAGCAACTTCCATTTTAAACCAAAATCAGAAATTATTTCCATTTCGAGCCAAAATCAAAAACTATGTTAAAATCCCAAAAGCTAATTAATTCAATGAATACATTCAATTTTAGGTTCAAATCAGCAAAAGAGGGTAGCGATTATGTTGATTATTACATTTGGAAGATGAAATCGGATGTAAAAGATGATCCAAATTATATTGCTGAAGATGGTAAAAAGAATGCTTACCTGGCTTATAATGGAAAAGATCCAGTACTAAATTGGATTAATCCTGCCGTACAGAATAGTATGCTTGAGATTGCAAAAAGTTTTCTTGATATGGGAGTTGATGGTTTTCATGTGGAACATATTGGTCAATTAATCAAACATTTGCCGAAATCAGAGGTATCATTAAATTTGCAACACTTTTTCAACATTTAACATATCAAAATTTTTATCCACTAAATTTATTTTATTAAATTCATTTATTACGAAGTTATTATAATGAATGATATAATCTGAAATATTAATACTTATTTCATATTTCAAATGTACTACCATCCTAAATAATGTGCTAATTTTTTTATACCTCTACTGAATGGATGCAACCTTTATGGAATGAGAATAAATTCCATCTTCGATTACTTTTATAATACAAATTTTAAGGGACACGTTGCACTGTCGAAAATCAATGATTTTATCGGAAGCTTACGAGATTATGCAAGTAGTAATGAAACAGTCAATAATGAAGAAATTATTGTATTTTCATCTTTGGATGATTTAACCGAACTACAAGAGTCTGATAGTTTTGCTTTATCGAATCTCACCTATGTTATCGACAATTCGGTCACCAAACTAAATAATGTTAGTTTCTAAATTCGGTCACCAAACTAATAATGTTAGTTGAAATTATTAATTTTTTACAAATAAAAAAAAGTTGAAATTTTTCATACACCTTCTTGGTATTTTTTGAATAATAAGAAATGAGATATTTAAATTAAATTTTCAAATCTACTAAATTATTCCTTCTTCAGGAAACATGTCCAAATGGAATAGCGCAATGTTTACATTCTACACTTATTACATCATTCGAACGATTCAATATCACACAACTTCCACACGCATGGCAATTCACGAATTATCACGTTTCACGTCTTAGTACAAGATTTGATAAAGCAACAGCAACATTATTAACTTTTGTACAGCTTTCATTGCCAGGTATTATTGAACTGTATTATGGACAAGAATTAAATCTTGAAGATAGTACTGGTTCAATAAACAAATTTACTGGTTTAATGCAGTGGAACAGTAGTGAATATGGCGGTTTCACAGCTGGCAGTCAGAAACCATTCTTTTCTAATACGCTTAATTACAAAGAAGATAATTTCGAGGTAACAGTACTCTATCAGTTCTAGAATTTTTTTTACCGTATTAAGTCAATTAATATTTAAATTTTGCATCAATCATTCTGTGTAAAAGTGATCGTAGGGAATAGAATAATTTCATCCTGATCTCTTTATATAAATTATGCTTTCATTAAAGACTTTTTTATTCTCTTTTATTCAAAATTTTCGTCGCTATAAGTTAGGTAGGAAAAAAAACAGAACAGAATAAAACAAAGTAAAACAAAAATACCTATATATTAAATTACCAGTTTTTTATTAAATTAGATCAATTTAATATAGAATGCTATTTCTTGTACTATATTCAAGGATTAAAACAGGTTTTAAACTTTCATTTTATTGATTAATATCGGGGATTTCATATATGAAAATTTAATTTCATAATTTCCACCATTCTAAATAATAATTCAATTTACAGACTCAAGCTAGTAGTCATCGTTCACCACTGAAAACATTCAAAGTGCTGGCAAAAATGCATCAACGTCAATATAATTTTGCACTTGGTGAAACACAATTAGCACCACTTATTCAAGATGTCATCTTATTCAGTCGATTTTATCAAGTTGATAATACTACCCTTGGAGAGGTTTTTGTTTTTTTAATAAACATATTAAGATTGATAGAAGTGTTTAAAATTAAATATGTAATAAATTGCTTAAACTCTATGATGTATTTATTATATTAGGCTTTGCATACTTTTTAGGCTTATCTGGTTGGCGCAAACTTCGGGACATCTGATGCTGAAATAAAAGGAACAATAGTACTACCGGACAGCTATATGCTGGATAAAGCGGAAATAGCTATTGTTACTCCAAATGTTGACAAATACCAACCCAGGGACAAAATTTCATTGCATGATAAAATTGTCCTTGGTCCTAAACAGGGAATTATTATCAAAGTTTAATACTAACACTCATTACGTGACTTCTTCTGGAAAGCAGCTCAACTTGTTTCTTTATAAACAATCCTTATTTACAGTATCTGTAATATCTTCCATAACCTACTTATCAATACCATATATAAAAGCTTCGTCTTGTAGTTCATAAAAGCTCAACTTCATTATATTTCAAATGTTATAACGGATATGATTCAATGGTAAGAAGAGAGTTCTCATTATTGCTTTCTTCATATATGATTTATATTACTATTGCCAATAATAAAATTATACTTCTTTATAAAATCAAATGTAATACATGCACCAATAAATGTAAAATTTGTTTGTGTTATATGTTGATATCAATGCAGTTGAAACACATGAATTTTATTCAAATTTTGATAACGTAAGAAATTACACAACATGAAATAATGATGAGCTTGAAGAAAAAGGAACGCCCAGAATATTGTGAAATGAACAAATCAATCACACCAGTCACCTTAGTAAACAAAACAATCGCTTTTGATAGCATTCAGGCCTTTGTTAATTTTTCTCTTGACTAAATAAGCAATGAAAAGAAATATGATACTTTGTCTACAAAAAAGTTCAAATTAACACTTTTTTTTTCTATGATCTACCCCATACATTCGTACATGGTTCCTATGCGGCCCCTGAATAACTGTAACGTGAAAAAGCATTCAAAACATATGAGTATATGAAATAGAAGGAATCTTGATAAAACGTCCTGTGGACCAGCATATGATGTAAATAAAACTTTACACAGCTATGAAAAATTAAATGTTGAGAAGATGACAAACGTATAAAATAAAATATCACTTTAAATCACAGACGTTAATTTTATCTTATATAACAGAATGATTTACGTGAGCGTTCACAAATAGTGGCCGACATCAGACCATCCTCTCCTATTTTCGGGACAACAGTAGTAATACCATTTCTGAGGAAGCTGTCCGCAAGTCAAAGAAATCTCAATATTTTCTTCCTTCCAAAAAAACTCATATAATTACTTAATTTGTCTACTGATGTCGCCCAAAAACACAGCTAATGACGCATTTAAATAAGACAGTGAAATACAATCAACAAAATATCACAGAATTAGGAGTGTAAAGATTTCAAGTAACTTGTTCCAATTCATTAAATGTTTGAGCTTGATCATTTTATAACAAAATGTGTATGCGCATTTTCATTTATAAAATAAATTTTATTAAATTTAAATTTCTAATCTTTGAGAGATGAAGCTATTTATGTCGCATACACATTTCAACACTAATATTGAATCACAAGAAAATTTTGGTTGGCTAACAGCTAAAAATCAACGTGATGACTAGAACAAAACAGCATTTGATGCAAAAGTATTGTGATACAGAAAACACTAAATAAAACACTGCTACATTTTTTACAATACCCGCAAATGAAAAGTCACATGAGTGAAAAGTAACAATTACGAATCATCAGGATCGTGTTGTGTTGAGATTTCAGGAGCTGCTGATATAGCACACTCATCGGATCCTTCTCGATAATCACACGTGGATGCAGAGTTGATATACAACTGGAAAGAAAACAGGGAAGATAAACAAAGACGAAAAGGATTAGAAAGAATTCTTTCCGGAATAAAAGTAGAAAAAAACAATCATATTTAATTTCAATTTACTACATCAGGCAACTCTAACTGGAAGTTACTTCCCAATGAAAAAACCGGACTTGCAAAGTGGTATCTGTTTGACGAGCAATAAAGCGAATAAATGGACGGAGATTTCCATGATTTGCGGCTACGAGAGTGTCATAATAATCAGAACGGGCCTCCACTGGTATTATCACAGGAGGAAAACCGCTCTGCATCAAAATCAAATTCATCAACAATCGTGCAGTACGTCCGTTACCATCAATGAATGGATGTATCGAAACCTGATAAGAAAAGAATTCTTTCAGCCTTAAAAAAGTGCAAAATAATGGGTTTAGAACATAAAAATACGAAGCCATCGTGATCTCGATCTTGGAGTAAAACAAACCGCAACTCCTTCCGAGATTTTCAGACTTCCGTATTATAAATAAACATTTTGAAAATGTAAGATTTTTGGAAAACATGTAATAGACAAACCAGCTTATAATGAGCAATAGCAGCACGTTCTATGGGATCCAGCAAGGGATTACGCTTATTCAACCATTTCACCATTTCTTCCATTGCTTTAGGTATCATGTTTGCCGAAATGGGAGTGAAACTTCCCACAAATACCTTAAAAGAGCAAACAGAACACCACAATGCTAAGTGGTCATTCAGTGAAAATAACCGTCTATAAAGAAAAGAAATAAAGTTGTTAAGTGTAGTTATTCTAAACTTTCTTTTCTACATCGTTCGTCAGTGATATAATAATCCTGCGTGCTTTCGATAATTCACTCAATCTTTTAACGCAATTCTTATGTTTGTAATGCAACAATCTCCCACAGCATTCACTATCATACAAAATACCAACTTGAGTTTTGCGAAATACACCTGCTGCATCCGGATCGACAAAACCAAGAACACGGCTGTGAATGTCCAGGATATCCTGCAATACAAACGATTCTAGATAAACAGACATAAGTAAAAATGTATTAATATGTTATAATTTTGAAAAAACAGGGTGAAATTTAAAAATAGCACGAATAGGCATTTATGACTATTGTTATCAGACCTGAAGAGTAAAATACGACATGTATGCAGCGCTTTGGTTTATGAATCTCAGCGCAGAGTCCATTCCCAAAATCTCGTTATGCTCTATAATACTTTTGCCAGCCACTGCCATCCTTGTTTCTAATATGGACCTAAACTACATTTACATTAAATTCATAGATTAAATTGACAATCCTTCATTGGTATTTCTTGTGAAAGAGACTAAAATAAGATCTTACCTTGTCTGACCAAGAGACATGGTATTGCCTTCAATTGCTACAGTATGATAAATATGCAAAAAATAAGATTCTTTCATCGCCCTTCGTAAAGCGGTGTTAGTCTTTGGTATCCGTAAAAAATATAAACGCTTCTCGTGAAGTTTCTTCAACATTTCCCTGTCAATTTCTTCCACTATGGGTAAAGTTCTTGCTCGACTTCTATAAATATCGTTCCATTAGCGAAACAAAAAGATGTATAAATTTTCTCGACTTAAAGTAATTTCTCACAGGGTTTATTTCAGACAAACATCAACCTTTACGAACCATCCCCAAAATTTTGTTTCATATTTGACATAGCGTTAAACAGACACAACAATTCTTCTCAACCAAATCTCTTCATTAATCCTACTGCTATCTCACTTTTCTTTTATAATATAATGGCAGGAAAATGGTTGTTTTTTCTCGAGATACTGATGTATGACACAAAAATACTCACACTAACGCTTCCGCATGATGCGGATTGTAGCTCAGCGCCCGTGAATACAACTCTTCCGCTTGTACCAGATTTTTCCGTCCCATTTCAACAACTAGACCATATTCAGTTAAAATATCTGGATGATGTGGAGCCAGTGCAAGCGCATGCTGAATAATGAGTTCTGCCTATAAAGTGATTAATTTGCAAAGTCTTACTTTGCAGAAACACATGCCACTGACCACTTTTGCGCACCAGAAACAAAATACGGTCTGAATTGGCACTTATGTCCGATGCAATTCTGAACACCCCCTTTTCCCATCTTCCAAAACGTCACTGAAGTTACCACATATCTAAACCGTGGGTGAGAGAATTTTTGAATTATACCTTTGCCATATTTCCTTCTGCCCTCGACTGAGTCGCAGCTTTTAACGCTGCAAATGCTTCCTTCTTGGTCTTCCAATCCCACTGAATAACACTTGCTTGAGTAGTAGAAGCCACAGCTCTCTTGACATCTTTAAATTTATCTGCGAAATACCACGACTCCACAGGATCAACAAAATAACCCAATTCGGTTGTGCTAAAAAACAATGCAGTTTCGAAAATCCTTTAGCAAATAAGTGAAAAATTTTGCAAAATTAAACACCCACTAGAATAGAATGAAAATTCTACATAATGATTCCAGCAGTATTAAACTTTCCGCCACAACATCAATTCACTCAACTTATAATTTGCAAGTCTAACACATATAAACCACACATTGTACTACAATTACTATAAAAACTTTCAGTTATTTTCTTCGACAGATAAAGAACTGTACCACTAACCCAACGTAGCGTTTATGCGACAACTGAGCTGAACAGTAATCGGTTTCTTTAATGAAATCGGGTACGAATTGGAGATAACAAATTAAAAATTTCCAAACGATAATTCGCTGCACTAGGATTGATAACGTCTAAAGATAACTGGTATTTTCTTTCACAAAATATTGTTCGAAGCTTTCAAAAGCCATGTTAGAATTTGTAAAAGACTCTTTGCACAAATAATAATTAGCATGGTACCATTCTGAGATTAGTTGTTATTTAAGTTGGAAGATTCACATCAAGCAAATAAAAGCGCCGCTTAACGTACCTGCATGCAAATTGATACAACAATAGACACAGCTACAACTCGCGCCCATGGTCGTGTAAAGATGTTGGTGCCGGATGACATTCCAGACACCGCTACCATTTGTAGGATGAGTACCTGCAATGGAATTCTTCACCTCACTTTCCATTAATGACAGTGGACAACGGAAAAAGAAACAAAGGAGATCAAGAGAGTATATATATATATTCTCTTGATATATATATATATATATCGAAATATGTATCGGTCTCTAAATTTACGATCAAATCATGGCGAGATGAAAACTATAACTTTGCTTACCTTGTTATAACAATATCATGTGTGATTATTGGGCAAAATTGCAAACATTTGAAGAGACGACCATTTGATGGTATCTTCAAAATTCCCATTTTATTTTTTTCTGGAAGTATTAAAATTTATTTTAATATAATGAACCGAAAATTTATGTTGTATGCCTTACAATAAATATGTCCTGAAATTGACTAAAATGCAATTGCAAAACAAGGCAAAATATGATGCAGTAATTCACGTGAATAACTTTTGCATCCAGTTGCTTGCAACCTCCTCAAATTATGTAATATTTTCTCATAAAATGCTCAGTGTATAGCGAAACGATCTATTGTCTATTAGGTTAGGAGTTGTCTAGCTAACAAAATTTGTCTTCTCTCTGTCTTTGCTTTCGTAACACGTAATGTAAAAGAAAGGGAGAAAGAGGGGGAAAGAGGGAGGTAAAATGAAGGTGGTGTAGGCATTACAAAGAGTTGTAACAAGAACTTGTATTGGGTCTCAGTGTTCATATCCGTGTATGCGATGCGTGTGTTTACGTGACCATTTACAAATGTATGGGTGGTACGTGCACTTCAACAGAACTCGTTTATGTGGGGTAAAAAGAGGCAAGCAATGTATTTGGTGGATGGATTATTGGAAGGTGGAAGAATAGGTGCTGTTGGGCTGGGAATAATACATACTTATTCACTTTATTGCAAACTACTGTTAGTACATATACATACATACACACACATACACACACAACACATACACACACAACACATAC